CCGGTGAACCCAGTTCTCAAGCCAGATGGGCGCAAGTCACTGAAGTCGGCCGACAAATGGAGCGACGATGACGTACTCAAGAACTATCGGCTAACCAACGACTACCGAGTAGTCAACTCGCTAACCGAGCCGAAGGCAGGGACGATGCCGTTCCAGGCTACCATCCTCCAAAATCTAAGATGCAAGGGAGCGATGGGCGTGTTTGACCTGCCCAAGTGATTTTGGCAGTTCCCACTGCACCCGGACAGCTGGGACATGTTGTCGTTCATGTGGAACGGATGTGTGTACACCTCGGACCGAGTGATGCAAGGCCATGTGGACAGTGCCCTCTACGTGCAATCAACGAATGAGGAGTGCTACAAAGACCTGCTCTACAAGAACATGCTGATCTGGATCGACGACATCTTTGTGTACGCCGACAGTGGAAGAGTATGTGGATGCCCTCGAGTCGTTCTTCGATCGAGTGGCCCAGTACGGGTTCAAGCTGAGTCCGTCCAAGACCAAGCTGTTCACGGACCAAGTCAAGTGGTGTGGACGCATCATCAGTGGTGATGGCGTTACACAAGACCCTGAACGCATAGAACATCTGTGTTGCGATCCCCTACCCTACGAATGCGGGAGAATTGCAGCAGTTTGTGTGCGCCGTGAACTGGCTGCGGGACTCGATGACAGAGTACGCACAGACCGTCGACCCACTGCAGCAGTGTCTGACGAAGGCCCTCGAAGGCAAGGGCAAGAAGAAGCGGATCGCGTCTGGTGTTCAGTTGGAACTGACCGACGGCGAGAAGCTAGCGTTTGATGCCGTAAAGTCCAAGCTACGATCATCTGTGGAACTGTCTCACCCGCGTGATGAGCGTTCAGCGGCGCAAAGTATGTGCTGGTACTCAAGGACGACCTTACCCACTACTGCGAACTCATTGCATGTGACGGACCCACGAGCCAAGTATGTGTGGATGCCCTGGTGGACTGGACGAAGCGGTTCGGAATGCCACAAGTCTGGGTCAGCGACCAAGGAACCCATTTCAAAAACGTGGTCATGAAGGCGCTAGCCCACAAGTTCAAGGTCCATCATGACCTAACCTTTGCCTACTGCCCCTGGCGCAACGGTTGAGCGAATGAACCGCGACATCCGTCAAGTGATGCGGGTCATGCTGCGAGAATACCAGCTAGCCGAACAGGAATGGGATTACCTATTGCCAGTGGTCCAAGCCAACCTCAACCAAACACCGGCAGCATCACTGGCGAGCAAGTCGCCGATGGAGCTGTTCACGGCTTTGAACCCGGCGACTCCCCTGGATGTCGTCGTGGTGGGCATGGCCAAAGAACACGGTCAAGGACATCCCCAAAAATCTGGATAAGCTGCGTGCTAGCCTGCAAGTCATGCACAAAGAAGTCCTAGACAAGAATGCGATGCGCGCGGCGAAAGCGACCGAGAAATACGAACAGTGCAACGTCAGCGAAGGCGACTACGTGCTCTGGTCCCGTGTTGACGAACGCTTTCACCCCAAGCTGCTCGTAACTTGGACGGGCCCCTACCGAGTCAAGGAAGTGGGCGAATTCTCCGTCGTTTTGGAGCACTTGGTGACCCACGAACTGCGGGAAGCGCACACATCAAGAGTCAAGCTCTACGCCGAAGACAGCTTTGAAGTGACCGAAGAAATCCTCGAACACGTTTCCGAGCAAGGGATCATGCTGAAGGTCAAGTCCATTGCGGGACACAAGATTCCATTGCGGGACACAAGATTGTCCTGGATGTGAAAGACTTCATGCTGGAAGTGCTTTGGGAAGGTTTTGAAGATATCGAGTCCTCATGGGAACCGCTGCAGAAGCTCATGCATGAATGCCCGGCCGTGGTGAAGAACTACGTTGAAGGCGTGAAGACAGCGAGCGAAGGCGATGTATTGCGCAAGGCGATGAAGCGAGCGAAGGCGAAGAATTAGCGAGGCCCAAGTGTGTCCTGTGGGACATGGCTTGGGGGGTGTGTTGTGGTGGGCGACTTAACCCAAGTCCCGCCATGACACAGGTGGTCCTCAACCGAGGCCACCGGGTGCCGACCCTTGGCGAACCGACACGAAAAGGCATAGTATTACTAGTAGTACTACTAGTAGTACTAGGACGTAGAAAACAGAACACCTGTCCCAGCCAACTGCCAGAATCTCACTCTTGGTTTTGCAACGTCGTGCTAACGTCAAGTGAATCAAGTGTGTGGTTTGCAGGGAGTCAGCACTCCCCCATTTGGTTATTTGTGTTGGCACTGGCGTGGGAAACAACACACAGACCCAACTCATGATTTCGAAACTTATTTGTATTTACCACATGAGGAGCGATATCCGTATGCTTGCATGTGTGGTGGCGAATGCACACCGCACGTAGTTCCCTGTTGTTGCTTTGCAAGAGCTTACTCATATGACCGCATTACCACAACTGGCATCACAAAGGGGTCTTGTCAAACGCCTCATGGGTCTACAACTTCACTCTGATACCGGTATTTGCATGCCACGTTGAGCAAATGATGCCACGTCGGGCATGGAAGTGTGAAGAAGTGTGCATTATGCGCGACTGGTTGAAATCCACGATTTAAGACCAATGACGAAGCCCTAGAGGAGGTGGCCTTTGCCCCGAATCTACGGAATCCCACATAATATTTGACAGTTCCCGTAAACTCGATAAATTTTAAGGAGGTACATTGACGGCAAATGCATGGGAACGTGTTCCGAAATCTGTCTATTGAGTGCAGGTCCGCGCAGACACTGCGATAACATTTTAAGACTACCGTATACCCCCCGCTTCGGCTATGAAAATGTCAGTAAAATCTGATCACAACCGGTACAGCTCCATGCGGTACCTTGAAAACTATTCAGGCATGCGCATTGGTCTAAATCCATCACAGGACTTATATTTCATTGGATAAAAATAATTAACGCATGGTGATTAGATATTTCTGTCCAATTAGAGACAATTAGGTACGCGCCCAACCGGAACCATGAAAATGTTCGTCATTGGCCGATATGTTCCAAACTGGTACAGATCCAACCGGAGAAATCATAGGTACTGAAACGGGGGGTATACGGCAGCCAACGTAGAGCCATACGTGCACAGTCCCTGACGGCATCGAACCGCCAGTTTTGTATGTATACAGAGATAAAATAAGTCCATTTTATATGAGGTTTTGTATGGTCGAAATTCCACCTGTATGATTTAATCCCTATAAAACACAATAACCTTCGAGTAATCTTCGCTAAGCATACCCAAATTCACCCATTTTCAACCATCAGCCATAATAACCCTTCACTATTTATACAAAATCCCGCGATTTTGAATATCCGATTATACGGGTTCTGTCAACCCAATTGGAATATGTTCAACTGAAACTGAAACGGGGTCCGGATAACATCCGATCTCCTATTGTTCAGTTCTAATCATGACCAGAGAGGACACTAGGCACGATCAATTGTCTTGAATCACTGGCTCTGAGACCACCGCAGCAGCACCATTCATTTAAAATGAATTGCATGACTGGCGCGTAGCCGCGCGCCAAGGAAACCAGCTAAGAGATAGCTAGTTCACTCAGTTAACAATATACCTTAGGTGTTTACTGTACTGACAGTAAACACCTTCCTCTTGTTGCCCAATTAAAACTGTAAACACCGTCCTCTAGTTGCCCCATTACAACTGGTAGCACTCCAGATCGTCCATCGACCTTCCCCCTCCGCCGCGTAATGTCAACTGCGCAATTCTCCGAGTCCCACCTTGTCATGATCCCGTACATGTATCCCGCCCACGGAGAACAAGACATCTGGCGCTTGATCCACACGCTGGTTGCTCCAGCACAGCTGCACCTCTTTAAAATCTTTGCTCGTAACGACGAGAATGCTCGGCAAGACATTGCAGCGCAAGCGCAGTCACTTGCTTCTAAGAGTGATGCTGCGCGACAAGAAGTTGCCGACCTCAACGCTCGAAGAAGTACCTTGGAGGATAACCTCCACCACGCAACAGCACGTATGTCCGCATAATCAGCTTCGAAGCCTAAGCAACGTGCCGTAGAGCTCGAATTCCTCGAGTACGGAGAACTTGCCTCCCATCAACTGCTTAATTGGACCCAGCAAGTTTGTCGTGGGGTGCATGTTTGAACATCGACGACGATAAGATCCGCGTGTCTTTTGCCATGTCGCACCTTACTGGTCCACGGATGATAGGACCTGGGGCCTAACTTGCGAAGATACTTTCGCGTTTACCACTTTCGATGAATTCATCGAAGAATTTATGGCAGCGTTCCTGCCATCTAACGGTGACTTCGGCACTGCACGGAGTACCTATCTACCAAGCAGGCAAACGCTTATTCGTGTGTACGTCCACGACATGCACTTTCTTGCGCTCTGTTTTACCCAGAAGTCTTCGCACTTTGAAGAGACTAAAGTGACAATCGCTATGAACGGCCTCAACGATTCGGCTGCGGACACGCAGCTTTTTCGGACATATCCTTCGACATTCGAAGATACCTTCCGCACCGCGCTAGCCGAAGAGTTTCGGTTCCCCAATCACGCACTACGACAAGACCCGCGATCCACATAAGGTGGAGGTCTTTGCTATGATCTCGCCCGCCACCGACCGTCGTTGCTTCAACTACAATCGACCGGGACACTTCTCCCACGAGTGTCGCCACCACGCCGTGCGCCGGTATACGCTCGTGGTAATGTCTCATCACCTGCACACCGCTTCGCACGATCGCGGACGCTGTACGCTTTGCTCAAGTCCACAGTTATCGGGGGACTGGAGCAATGCTTGCACCACTAAGACTACCGACGAACGGGCGAGTTGTATGATGATCGCATTAGTCAAAGTCTGTCCACTTGGAAGTGAAGGCTACATTCACCACTCACAACATTATGATTGCCTAATCGTAAATGTCGCTTCAATTCTAGCGATGTACACTATCTGTGATGATGTTAAGGCTCACAATAATAATATATCGAGGGTTGTTTCGGAGTCTTGACGTCAATGGGGCAAAGATCACCGACGGAGCACACAAGGGGTTGTTCGGGGAGGACAGGCAACTCAGGGAAACCGGGGAAAGCCGGGGTAGCTGGGAAGGCCGGGAAGGCCGGAAACACAGGGGTGACCTGGGTAGGCTGGGAGACGTGGGGAACCGGGGGATCTCGGGGAAGTCGGGTCTAGTTCGCCACGGGTGGAGTCGAGGGTGACTCCGAGGATATGCAAGGAGTATGGAGTTATGCGCCATGGATAACTTCAGCAACAAGCCACCGCACACAAACACGTAGACAGGAGATGTAATGCACACTTGGTACACTTAGTCGAGGTTCAGCAACGGAGGTCGCCTGTGTTGCAATGTCGCACGGACCTGTGGCCTGAGATCTGTACCGAGGACTTGGTTGGTACTGGTTTGGAGGTTGATGCGGGTTTCGTACACTTGGTCGACAAGCTTGTACGGACTTCAACTACAGACTTCTTAGGGTGGGTCGTTCAGGGACTGTTCTGCTCAGGGTCTAAGCCATACACTGCAAAATATAAACTATTATTATTTATGTCACGTACGATGAAAATATGTAAAACTATTTTAAAGCCAATTCCCCCCTGTTGTTTTGGTCGAGGCTTCCCAATGTCGTCGTCACGCCTTCAGGGCTAGGCATGGTGATTGATTCTGGACCAAATTACAGATCGCAATCGGTAAATAAAATCCCTTGCATCTGCAGCGGCTAGTGAGCAGCGCAGACATCCGGCGTCGTGTTGGTTACGGTGGCGCCTAAACGTATGAACCCGCATATGATCAAACGTATGAATCTGAATATGCAGCGGACATTGCGACATAATCCTGATTCACGAGGAAGTGACCCCGAGTGTGATTGTTGCTGAAAGTGTAAAACCATGACTAGCATCCCGTAACAACCAACAACGTCTCCAACACGAAGTCCCACCATTGACACGCAATCGACAATGCTTCCAACATCAAATCCCACTGTTGAAACAAAATCAAGATACCCAAGGAACCCGGGGCACCCTGGGTCTCCAGGGAGTGTTGGTTTGCCCGGGAATGATGGGTTCATTGAAATGCTGGCCCACAATGTTGGTTTGATGATTTGTTTACCACATATTTATATAGATTAAACCCTTATGAGAAATACCAAGACAACCTTTGGGAAGTGGCGTCATGATATACTACTCTATATTTATGTATACAAGGATACATTTGACTCTATGGTATTATCAACAATCGACAAATATAGAACAAAGTAAACTCCATGATTTTGCCATCTTTAGTAGTGAACTGCAAAGCAATTAAGTAAACACAGTTCAATATTAAGTTCATCAATCAAGTCTCTCCAAGCTTTCCCTCTCCAAGTCTATAAGATTATGAGCCCAACGATCACCCACGCGAAGGAAGAGAAGGTCAAGTCCCTTGTTTTCGTCGGAGTAAACTTCAACATCTACAAGGTCTGCATTCAAGCCAATCTTCGCAGCAAGGGCCTGTGGAAAGTTGTGAGCGGCGAAGACACCCGCGACGACGCCGACGATGAGGACGACTACGACTCGAAGGAAGACAAGGCCTTCGACATCCTCGTCAACTCGCTTGACGACGACAACCTGGCCTATGTGTCTCACGTCTCGACATCCAAGGGAAGTGTGGGACATGCTTGTCACGCGTTACGAAGCCCGGACATATGCTGATGTGTCACACGTCATCCACGAGTTACACACGAAGGTGTACAGCCCTGGATCGTCGATGCAGAAGCATGTTACGGATCTGCGTGGCCTGCAACACAAGCTGCTGCTGATGGGATCACGCGTGGACGACGAAATGCTGGGACGTATCCTGCTGACAAGCGTGAAGGAAGTATTCCCCACGACGGTAGAAATACTGCGCAGCCGTGAACCGTCTCCGACTCTCTCCCAAATTACGAACCGGCTGTTATCCAAGGAAGATGAAGTGAAGAATGGTGCACCCATGAAGCGAAAGGCGGAGACAGAACAGCTACTCTACACAGGCAAGCCTGACAAGCCTCGCCCTTTCAAGAAGCAAGCGGTGAAGGACAAGTGTCATTACTGCCACAAGATTGGCGATCATGCGTTTGAATGTCGTTACAGAAAGCGCGATTTGGCCAATTTGCCCACATCCTGTCGATGAAAGTTGCCGTCGCGGCGTGTAAAGAAGAGGACATCATCCCCATATTCCAAAATAATCAAGGTGGATATGCAAATGCGATTGGTAATGATAAGGATGATGTCAATCGTCTTCTACGCCGCGATGGCATCTTCCATCGACGGGCTGTAGCCAGACGTAGTACTACAACGTATCATGTGGCAACCCTTGGTGCTGTCGGGTTCAAACGCGTCAGCCTTGGTGGGGCACACATTGCATGCACTTTAGGTGCTTGTTGCCCGTGCTAAACCCTTTGTTCATTGCATTGTACATCGGACACGATGGGGACAATGGACAGAGCCAATAGCGTGAGGGTGTCCCAGGGAGCCCAGTTGATCTCGCGCGTTGTACATATGTTTTCACAGAAACCCTGTGCGACTCACATATATTGCAATATGGCTTGCCCACGATCGGAACCATGGTAGGTGCCGCGGCGCGGGGCACCCTCATGACGTACCGCCTACCATGGTTCCGATAGTGGATGAGTCATATCCTTCGAGTCGCACGGGTTTACGAATGAAATACTAGTTCTAGTTGCTCGCTTTGATTACAGTACCGCAAGTGTGAAAGATTCCGGTATGACTGCTATTACCAAAATGAAAAAAACTTGAAAAAGAAAGAACATTACACGTGATGGAACCCACGACCTTCTGCGTGCAAAGCTGACACTCAACGATTTGAGTATGTTATTAAAGTGCACACAGGAATAACTATCCAGTCAAAAACCTTGGATTCTGGATCCACTCCAAAAGGCGATCTCTGCCTATGTCTCAATCAGGTCATTATCCGACACGAACACAGACCGTGCCGTTTACTCCTACCGTGCGTTTGGGCAAAACGAATGTATTGGTTAATTCTTCCATAACTTTTCCCCCATGTATCACTTTTCAGATCTGAAGGTATATACGAATATAGGAGAAATCAGTTCATCGGGTGAGGGGTTTTATAATCAATACAACGGGATATTAAAATAGATATCGTTG